CCAATTTCAATAGGGTTCGTCCTTGGGCCAAACAGACGGACGGACGGACATGCGTAAATCGACTCAGAAAGTGATTCTATGCATATTCTCAAAATGCCACCATGGGTAATCTGTTTTTTGCCTGTTACACATATGCACAAAGACATAATACCCTGTGACAGTGTGGTGAAGGGTATAAAAAAAGGGGGTTATATGGGGACTACCCCAAAAAAGGGGCGAATATTAATAATTGTTGGTAGGGAGATTTGTTACCATATACGACTACAAAATACCAAATTGCAGCAAATTCGGTTGAAAATCGAGCTCAAGAACCCCAAAATACCGAAAATTGGCGGTACCCTTATATGGGGGCTATCCGAAAAAATGGACCTATACTCATAATTTTTTGTGGAGAGATTTTCTATGCAATAAGAACTCAAAGTACCAAATTTCAGCGAATTCGGTTGCAAAACGGTCTCAAGAACCCCAAAATACCGAAAATTTGGGTACCCTTATATGAGGGCTACCCGAAAAAATGGACCTATATTTATAATTTTTTGTGAAGAGATTTGATACGCAATAAGAACTCAAAGTACTAAATTACAGCCAATTCGGTGGAAAAAATGCGGTAAAAACCCCCCAAAAACTGAAAATTGGGAAGTACCATTATATGGGGGCTACCAGAAAAAGTGGACCTATATTTTTAATTTTTAGTTGAGAAATTTGGTATCCAAAAAAAAACCGCATTTTTGTTGGCAACATTTGTGTTCAGCCGAGCACGGCTAGGGCTCGAACCTAGGTCCTCAGAGCAACACAAATGTTGCCAAGACCGCTTAACGTTCTGAGCCATCAACACATCCAAAAACGGTTGCGCAAAAACATGTTTATACCAGGAAGCAATTGTAGGTGTGTGGATTAATTATCCATCGCTACAAGAAAAATCTGCTTTGAAAAGGACTGTTCCTAGAATGAAGACAAATGTCGAACTTTGACAAAGTTGAATTTAATTCGCATATGCAAGTTTCGCAGCAGGGCGGAATAAATACACGTTATCAACGTACGACATTTGTAAAGCCACATAGCCCAATATGCCTGATGAGCCGCTTAACCAACGGCGAAACGCGTCGCATAATGGTGGGTACGTAGGTTCTTCTCCTGGCTTTCCTTTTCATTGCAAAACTTAGATCATCAAGCTCGACTCGAAAGAGTATAAATAACCACTTAACATTTTAAAAATTTAATTTAGACAGGTAAATACTGTCTAAAATACTATCCTGGCAAATACTATCCCTTAATATGTCTAATGCTTCACCTCCATTTCCTGTATTCGCTGGGATCAGAAAATATTCGTTCCTGTAATTAGAAACAAAAAAATACGATTTTTTAATGGCAAAAAAACCCGAACCTACTAAAATTACCACACATTCCACAATACCGAATTCTTTTACTTTTACTACCAATGACAGTTTCATAAAATAACTTCATATAGAGAATATTGTACCTCCAAACCTACCCCGCAACACCTCACCAATATACCAACAAAGAATGACTTGATGGCTGATAATCATGCCTTTTCGCCATTGTTATTCATTCTTCTGCATTTAATGGAGACAATGGGGATGTCCATGTGGATGATTCTACTGTTGCTGCTGTTGTTGTTTTTCTTGTTGATGATGATGACACCAATACAACGCCAGCAACGGTGATGGCGACAATATCAACAAAAAACAACGACATTCCAATGACAGACAATACCGATGATGATGTAAAAATAATGTTAAACAAAGGAAAAAGTTTAGTTATTTCACTTTTTTGTTGCAGTTGTTTTTTGTTTCGTTTGTTACTACAAAAGAATCTTAACGTATGCCTTCTCGATACTCATAGAAATATATATGAATTCCTGATGCTGCTGCTACCGGGAGGAGAGAGGAATGACGAGTAACAACAACAAACAACGATAAAAATATGGACAAAAATAATGATGGTCAAACAATTTGGTCATATAAACCCCCCAAGTACAGTAAAGTAAATTCATTATGGTCGGATGCCGAAGAAAACGACGACAACGACAAAAAGTTGGATACTTTCTCCTAACAGTGTCAGGACACCACCTGCGTTAAACCGCAGAAGAAAAAGTTTTGTACCCACACACAAAAATACAACAAAAAGTTAGAAAGTTACAAATATGCTATGACGAAGAGAACATGATGACGATAATGACTACGACAACGATACAATGGCCATGGCCATGACCACCACATCCAGCCAGCCAGCCAGGCCAGCCTGATAATGTAATTGAGGCGGAAAAGTCATTGCTATACAGAGTACACCATTTAATGACATAAATATGTCATCAATATAAGCCATACGCAATGTGGCATGGATGGTGTACACTTACATATACAATAGCAAATTATGCTAATTTGCGATATTATTATGGAGCAAATATTGGGTAATAAGAATATTTAAGTAATTTTGGTTTTTATTAAAGCAGAGACGAAACTTATTTTTACAGCCTTATTTGGTGGTACTGGGTATTATGTATTTGTGCAATTAATGGAGCCCCGCAGTTACTTTAGGAATATACATGAAATCAGGTTGTAAATCGATCTACAATTAAAGCAAGACACCTATCGGTGACGAATCCTGACTCATTTCAATAATTACATATTTAAAAATCATTAAGGAAAGCTAAAAGGTCGGACGGGCCCGACTATATGATACCTTTCACCACTTTGGATACATAAAAGAAATGCTACTATATACAATATCCTGCAGATATAACATACATATAATCTATAGAGGACCATTGAAATGGAATCGGGCGAAACTAAATATGTGATCTACATAGATATTTGAACCAATTAAAAACCCCATTAACATACAATTCTGAAATCTATGAAAGATTGCATGCCAATCGGATTCTTTTTTGTACAATTTGTATGAAAACGAGCAAAATAATGTATGTGGAGCTAAATGTAATTCTGGACCTAATTGAACAACCGTGTCATATAACATTTGGTATGCTGCAGCACAGTGCGCTGTCTGCACCATTTAGATGAAATCAGACGTATTTATGGCTCATGTGTATGCACCATTTAGAAACAATCAGGCGAAAATATGTATGAGAGATATATCTACTATATATTTTGTCTCAATTGGACAAATATTGGGAGTTTGGTGCACCATTTATCTAAAATCGGAAGAAACTACATATTGGAGTTATCTAAATCTGAACCGATTTCGAAAAAAACTCCACAGACATTAAACTGGACTTAACTCAGTAAGCTGTGCAAGATTTTGTCTCAATCGGACAAACCTTAGTAGTTTGGTGTATCATTTACCAAAAATCGGACGAAACTATATATGTGAGCTATATCTAAATCTGAATCGATGTCCACAAAACTTCGTATACATCAATATGGACCTATTTCAATGGGCGGTGCAAAAATTTATATTAATCGTACAATTCTTGGTGCCCCATTTAAATAAAATCGGACGGTACTATATATACGAGGTATACCTTAATCTAAACCGATTAAAAAAAACTTCACGGACATCAAACTGGAATTAAGTCAGTACGCTGTGCAAAAATTTGTTTGGATTGGACAAATATTGGGTGTTTTGGTGCACCATTTAGATAAAATCGGACGAAACTATATATGGGAGATATATCGGAATCTGAACCGATTAACTCCAATTTCAATAGGGTTTGTCTTTAGGCTAAATAAGTGAGCTGTGCCAAATTTCATAAATACAATTTGTACTTTGTTCACAAAAATACATGGACAGACGAATATGCATAAATCAACTGAGAAAGTAATTCTATGCATATTCTCAAAATGAAGCATGGGTCTATCTCGATTCCTTTTGCCTGTTGCAAACATATGCACAAATACTTCACCACAGTATGGTGAAGGGTATAAAAGGGTACTATGTCCGCCATAATCTGGAGTGTATATTAAATTTGTCATTCCGTTTGCACCACCTCAAAATATGCACCGGAGACTCCACAAAGTATACACATACGTTCTTGATTAGTATAAATGTCTGTCTGTCAGTCCGTTGTAATCACGATAGAGATTTGTTATTTTGGATCCTGAATGAATAACACATATTCTTACAAAAAAATTATAAATATAAACCCAAGTTTCAGGGTAGCCCCCATATAACGGTACACCCCACATTAGGTATTCTGGGGATTTCGGACACGATTTCCAAGCGAATTGGCTGTAATTTGGTATTTTGTTTTCTCATTGAATAACACATAACCGTATTAAAAATTATTAATATTGACCCACACTAATTCAACATCGTATTTTGAGAATTTTGGATAGGGTGTTCAACCGAAATGACCGTAATTTGGTATTTTGTACTCTCTTTGGCTGTCAAATCTTACTACTAAAAAATAACATATTGATCTTCACTTTATTTTAGCCACATATAACGTTATTTGATATTTTGAAAATATGTTTAAGGTCCTGCCATAACATGAGTTGCAGATATTTTGATTGTCATCTTCATGGTGGTGAGTATAAAAATTTTGGCCTGGCCGAACTTATCATCGTTTTCACTTTTTGGTTTCATTTTAATAAAAGTGTATTTGCCTCATTAAGACAAAAAATTTCCTCCCCTAAACATGAAACATAGTTTAGTATAATTCTAATAAAAAATCCAATTAATTTCACTATCTGTCATTATGCCGGATACATATAGTATTAACATCCCATCACAAATGAGCATGCATGACATTTTATTTCCGTATTTCATTAATGACCTACTAAACAATTGCCTCAAACACAGGTGTGGCTATATCTTTGGAAATGGACATTAGCTAGGTAATATCACAATAGCACATAGAGATGTATTTCCACACAACATACATACATATGTATGTATATTTTTGACATACTATTAGCATTTTATTTATATGTGTATTATGTATGTAGATGGATGTATTGTACAATAAAAATGCCAAATTGGATATGCCATACCATGCCTTGGTTGCTGTACACACTTACCCAATATTTCAACAGTGTGAGTAATTTCACGTGGTTCCATTGTTGCTATTTGACAAATATAATCACCCGCATCCTGTGGCACAGCATCACGTATTTGCAAATTAAAACCATTCACCAAACGCACTCGAGGATCTGGGGTAACTTTAACAGAGCCAGCTGTTAATATCGCAATGCCACGTTTCCAGGCGACAACATAGGGATCTGCAAAGAGAATGGAAAAAGTGGAGAATTTAAATGTGAGCGTTGCTTCGTTATGTTGTTGTTTTTTGGGGGAATAAAAAGTGATATATATCGGTATATTGTTAAGACAATTAAAACGACAAGGCATTTAAAGTAAAAGTTCTATCAATATTGGGGGAAAACTAAATGGATTTATAAGTAACAGGTAAATAGGTAATAAAATGCAGTTGGGGAAAGTGGTGGTGTGCTGTGCAATAAGGGTCACATTCTCATCGTTGTCACCGACTTAAATGAAGAGGCATCGTAGTAAACGACAGATGCGTGTCAATTTTGCACTTCCAACATACTATAAACCTTACTCAAATTAATAGTATTAACGAAAAACTTTTGGGGGACTGAAAGAGTTCACCAATCTCATTGTAGTAACTGAGAGGTGTTAAAAGAAAAAAAAATAATAAAACAAGAAATAAACGTCGTTATGTACCTTCCATTCATTGTGTGTACATTAAAAATTTCACCTTCATAGGCTTAAACCGGTAAGGAAAGTAGTAAAGTCGGACGGGGCCGACTATATGATACCCTTCACCACTGTAGGTATATTAAACAGCTGATGATATTTACTTAAATGTGAATCTACATAGATCTATCCATAAACATATCATTCGTTTGTTACAATGGGACAAAAGTATGTAAATCGGCTTCAAACAAATATAAATAGGTACGTTGTGCAAAATTTGATGTCAATCTGATTAACATAAGGAGTTTGATGCCCAATTTACTTAAAATCGAGCGAAAATATATATGGAAGCTATATCCAAATATGAAGCGATTTCAACGAAACTTGTCACAGGTTAGGTTATACTAATTTTAATACGTTTTGTTCCTACCAGCCTATTGCTTCCTTGGTGCGTCAATTACTTAAAATCAATCTATAATAAAAGGGGGCTATATCTAAATCTCAACCGATTTTCACGAAACCTTGACCGATTTTCACGAAAATGACCGATATCAATCTAGGCCCGATTCAGTACGTTATGCCAAATTTCGTGCAAATCGAAGGATATATAGGGACTTTGGTGCACCATTTACATGAAATCGGACGAAACAATATATGGGAGCTATATCTAAATCTGGACCGATTTTCTCGAAACTTGGTAGACATCACTCTAGGCTCGATTCAGTACGTTATGCCATATTTCGTGCAAATCGAAACCAATTTCAATTGGGTTCGTCCTTGGGCCAAAAAAATGAGCTGTGCCAAATTTCATCCAAATCGGATTATAAATGCGACCTGTACTTTGTATACAATTTAACACCAACAGACGGACAGATGGAGGGACGGACATGCATAATCGACTCAGAAAGTGATTTTATGCATATTCACAAAAGGAACTATGGGTCTATCTCGTTTCCTTTTGCCTGTTACAAACATATGCACAAAGACATAATACCCTGTACCACAGTGTGGTGAAGGGTATAAAATATGTCATGAAACTAAACTGAAAATTTTCTGGGGAGAATGTTTACATTCACCAGGATTTTTGAAGACCAAATTGCAGCCATATCGAAGCGAAATTTTGGGCTAGAATATTTAAACTGACAAAAATGTGGACCGATATTGACAACATAAATCCCTCAAAATACTGTAATTTAGAGGTAAAAGTTATATGAGGCCATCAGAATTTAATTGCGGGGTGGGATTCAATATGAAAGTTTTCATTTTTATACCCTTCACCACACTGTGGTACAGGTTATTATGTCTTTGTGCATATGTTTGTAACAGGCAAAAGGATATAAGATAGACACAGGGTTCCTTTCGATATGCACGAAATTTGCACAGCGTACTGAATTGGGCGTAGAAGGATGTGTGTTACGTTTCCTAAAGATCGGTTCAGATATATAGTTTCTTATATATATATATATATATATATATATGGGCCCATTTTAATGTAAATGATCCTTCAAAAAATCGACGTCTGTTAGGATTCATCTGTTGAACATACCCAAAGTGGTGAAGAGTATCATATAGTCTTTCCCGTACGACTTTTTTCCTTATTGGTTCTGATTATTTTAGTGATTACATCTTGTAGGAATTACCAAACATTTAGAGATATCATTACATGAGATGTCTAATTGAGGTTCGATATAGCTAAATTTCGCCATTTCAATAAATTCTAAGCAACCACGATGCTGTTAGTTTTTATTGGTTAGATTTGAGAGAACCTAAAATAGCAAATTGCAGTCAATTCGGTTGAAAACTTGTTCAAAGTCCCCATAATACTGAACAATAGAGGAGTAATGGTATGTGAGAGATGCCCCGTAAGATACGCCATTATTGAGAACACATGGTTACCAATATTTCTTGATAAAATTCGCCAGAAATTGTTATCAACCCTTATTGACATCGTCTTCCCTAATTGAATTAATGACTTTTCAAGCATCTACCTATATGTGTGTAATTTTTTATTTCAAACAACAAGGAAAATAACACACATGTTCAACCTTATAATTTCGAATTCATGACAAAATTAAATTAATTTCTTACTTCCATGGCAACCAATTTTCAATCGACATAGTCGATTTTAATAATTCTCATCTAGAGGCGGCTGTATCAGTCATACCTTACTGAGTAGATTTTTTTTTTTAAATTTTACACAAATACCCATGTATTTGTATGTAGGGATATGTGTAGTAATAGCTATTACATCAATTCCCGTTGCCAAGAATCAACGAAACCCGTATAAATCGTTCAGTCAGGCTCTGTGTGTTTAATAAATTTACTGTCATGGGGTGTCTGCTGCTGGAGCTGCTGCTGATTGCTAGTACTCAGGGATTTATCAAACAAAAAAAATGTAAAAAATAACAAGTGGTTAAAATAATACTCCCATATACACATCCTCACAGTATTACAGAAATAGCAATAACAAACATCACCCCACCTAGTTTTTGTACCGGAAATGGAATGAAATCAATAACGTTCAATCAGAATTCAAAAAAAATATATATGTGTAGATAGATGAAAGTAGTACTCGGGAATATGTAAATGAAAACGCAATCAAACATCCGTTTATGTATATGGCATACTTAATCAGTCTGTGAACTAACAAACCAACTGGTGGGGTACACATTACAACAGTTGCCATTTGTAAATGTATACATATGTATGTTTGTTTGAATGTATACTCAACGGTGGGTTTACATTAGGGATTATGTATAATTGGGTGTGATTTTTATACCCTTCACCACACTGTGGTACAGGGTATTATGTCTTTGGGCATATGTTTGTAACAGGCAAAAGGAAACGAGATAGACCCATGGTTCCTTTTGAGAATATGCGTAGAATCACTTTTTAAGTCGATTTAAGCATGTCCGTCCGTCCGTCTGTCTGTCTGTCCATGTATTTTTGTGAGCAAAGTACAGGTCGCATTTATGATCCGAATTGGATGAAATTTGGCACAGCTCATTTGTTTGGCCCAAGGACGAACCCTATTGAAATTGGGGAAAATCGGTTCAGATTTTGATATAGCTCCCATATATATTTTCATCGGATTTAATGAAAATGGTGTACCAAAGTCCCTATATATCTTTCGATTTGGACGAAACGTACTAAATTGGGCCTAGAGTAATGTCTGCCAAATTTCGTGAAAATCGGTCCAGATTTAGATATAGCTCCCACATATAGTTTCGTCCGATTTACTGTAAATGGTGTACCAAAGTCCCTATGTATCTTTCGATTTGCACGAAATTTGGTATAACGTACTGAATTGGGCCTAGAGTGATGTCTGCCAAATTTCGTGAAAATCGGTGAAGATTTAGATATAGCTCCCATATATAGTTTCGTCCGATTTCATGTAAATAGTACACCAAAACCCCTATATATCTTTCGATTTGCACGAACGTTGGCATAACGTATTGAATTGAGCCTAGAATGATGTCTGGTATGTTTTGTGAAAATCAGTCCAGATTTAGATATAGCTCCCATATATAGATTCGTCCGAATTCATGTAAATGGTGCACCAAAGTCCCATATATCTTTCGACTTGCACGAAATTTGGCATAACATACTAAATTGATGCTGGAATGATGTGTGCTGAGTTTCGTGAACATCGATTGAGATATATATATATATATATTCGTCCGATTTAATCTAAATAATGTAGCAAGTTCTTACGTTTCATAGTGTTTTGAATATAATCCAGAATAATGTGTGCCAAGTTTAGTGAAAATCGGTTGAGATTTAGATGTAGCTCCCTTATATTATAGATTGATTTTAAGTAATTGACGCACCAAGGAACCAATATATGGCTGAAAAGAACAAAACGTACTGAAATCAGTATAGCCTAACCTGTGACGAGTTTCGTTGAAATCGGTTCATATTTGGATATAGCATCCATATATAAGTAAATTGTGCATCAAACTCCTCATATTTGTTAGATTGACATCAAATTTTGCACAACGTACAAAATTGAGCATAGAATAACGTAGTTGGGTTTTCTAGAAGTTCAGACCTAGCCCAACGGATGACCTTTGAAGTCGATTTACATATTTTTGTTCCATTGTAACAAACGAATGACATGTTTATGGATAGATCTAGGTCGTTTCACATGTAGATAAATATCACATATTTTATTTCATACAATTTCATGATAATAGTCCTGTTTAATATACCCATAGTGGTGAAGGGTATCATATAGTCGGCACCGTCCGACTTTACTACTTTCCATACTGGTCAAAATTTGTTTTTAAGCGAGTAAATTCTGATTTAGGTCTGGGGAAATATTGGAAACTTTCAATTAATTTTTGCAAATTTATTTCGGAATTTTGCAGATTTTAGTCATATTTTTATACTTTGAACCAAATCCGTTTCAGAAAATTTGGAGTCGATTTACACATGACCCTCCGTCCAATGTCCGTCCCTCTGTCTGGCTGGTGCGCACGATAACTCTCGAAGGGAATAATCGTTTTCAACCAAACTTTACATATCTTATTTTTTTTCCAAACTTAGTATATGTTCAAAGATG